ACCTAGCAGTAAATAGGTACCTGGGAGTTAGTCAGCTGTCACGGGCTGCTTCCTGAGGGTGGAGGCCTGGTCGAGGACCGGGCCACGGGGACACTAAAGCCCCGAAATCATCTCAAGATAACCTCAAGATAACAGTGAAATGCCGTTACGTGTGGCTTTAGCTGTTATGCCAACAGGTTTAATACTTACAGGTGTTACCATCAATATGAACAGATGTTAGTTACAATAACGAAAAAGGACAGATGATATGTATGTTAGCAAGACCAGGATTAAAGTTATAAACTTTTTTTTAGGTAGGCCTGCAAATGAAAAAAAAAAACAGATACGGGTACACAAATCAATGATAAGTATGGAGTAACGTACTGTGGCGGGAGCTTTAAAAGTTCCCGACGGAAAGAAATTCATACTTTAGGTGAAGCTGCGTCCTGATTGGTGGGCAGCAGCCGTGTGCAAGGGAGCCGCGCATGCCTTGGGCAGAGGAGACAACCGCACCTGTCAGAGCGCAGGTGTTTACCTATGACGCCACCCGCTAGAGTCTGGGGACCACTATCTACATTGTTATTTGAACACTTGTTACCTCTACTTGTTACTGAGCCTCTGTTACTTGTACCTATTTCTTAGCACATGTGTTCTGACCGCTATAACGTATGAGATGACCACCTCACTCTTATAATCAAGACTTAAAAAAATGCAGGTACAAAACATTTGTGGAGAAAAAGATATAAATATATTTAAATCTATGACAATTGATCTTGAGGTTACTTTCAATTGGTTCTGTGGATCATGGTCTCCGTAGCCCGGTCTCTGACCACGATAATGAAACCGCTACACGCAGCTTGACGTAGGAAACAGTCTGTTTGATCAGGTTCCTTATAGTGTTTATCAAGTTCAATATTGAACGTTAAAAGACGACGGCTAGTAACGCCCCATATATTTTGAGGGCGGGTGTTTGGTCCCTTAATGTTTATAGAACCGTCTCTCAGAGTTCCCGTGGCACCACTTTCCTGTCAATATATTGCGTTACATATTTACAAAAGTATTACCACGTCTGTTATACCCACAGAAGCCTGGATACCAGTTCCATGCGCGAGTCGTACACATTCATTTAATTCTGGATCACTGTTCAGTAATCTCAGATTATTATTCAATAAATTTAGAATAATTGTTGGCTGCGTTTTGGAAAACATTTTTACTCCTGTCCGATTGTCACATTAAAATTTATAAATTTTTCAAAATCTATTATATTTTACAATAAAAATGTGCACATTTCCTGCACTTTTGCTTCAGCTTATCATACATAATAACATTCCATTATTGTTATTCACGTCAATATTATGTATTCTAGTTCAGCTGAACAATGTCACGACTACACAAACTTAACTTTGTTCTCTCCAGTTCAGGCCTAACTCAAGAGTACCAAACAATATTGCTCTCTCTAGTCAGGGGCCACCACAATGCCCGTCTATGTACCTTGGTTCTCACTACACTACAGAGACAGGTCTACATACAATGGTATGAGCCACATACCATGATTGTCATAACCCCAGAGAGCCACCCCACATACCATGGCGTTCCCTCTCCATCTTGCTGCGCCACCATGCTAGACTTAAGGACCCTCTTTAGTGCCACTTCCATGACGCCTCTCTTGTGCTTTCCTCAAATCAAACTTTTGTAAATTGGCTGCAGTTTTTACAGTAATTACAAACACACTCTCCATCTAGTCTATATCAGTCATTCATGACGGGAAAATCTTGTATTTTATAGATGGAACTTACGAAATTTACCCTAATTTAGAATAACGCATTCCAAGTACACTCCTGCTTGTAAGTGGGCAGTTGTAAAGACAATTTAGTCCTCTTATCCCCATAAGACGACCTGTCAGGGCGTTTACTCTGATGTGTATGATGTCTTTAAATTAAAGTCAATGCGTGTAAACTTTGTCCCATAACTTTCTTAGAGAATGTTCTTAGTTGAAAGACAAGGAGGGAGAGAATGACAGCTTGTGTATCAAAGTACAATAATATATCGATATGTTAAAATGTAAAATGTCTCTATTGTCATGCACGACATAAGGAACGTTCCCGCCAAACACACACCGAAACTACGACGTTGGTACAACGTTCGAGCAAGTTTTAACACCTAACCAGTTATAACAACCAATATAGCAAGTTGTAACAGCGTTCTAATACGTCATAAACACGTTAAGCCAAAATGTAACAACTTTATTACACGTTGTAACAAGCGGAAAACAGAGACAGTTTCGGTTTGTGTTTCCAGGGTTCTCACGACGTGTGTTAACCTGACATTAAAATCTATTCGATTCCACGGCATAACTCTGCACTATAATATTTTATATTGACTTACCAAATGTTCAACCATTCATTATGATGCCTTTAGGATTAAAATACACAAATTAGATTATATATTTAGAACTTCTGAGAAAACTGACCAAATATTTTCCATTAAAAATATATTTTTTTATTCATACGCAGTTACGTTTTGTCGCGGTGCTGGTTGGGTCAAGCTGAGCAACGTCCAAGAGTCTTGGACAGAGTTTAGTCTCCGTGGTGTAGTGGTAAGACACTCGCCTGGCGTTCCGCGAGCGCTATGTCATGGGTTCGTATCCTGGCCGGGGAGGATTTACTGGGCGCAATTCCTTAACTGTAGCCTCTGTTTAACAACAGTAAAAAATGTGTACTTGGATGAAAAAACGATTCTTCGCGGCAGGGGATCGTATTCCAGGGACCATAGAATTAAGGACTTGCCCGAAACGCTACGCGTACTAGTGGCTCTACAAGAATGTAACAACTCTTGTATATATCTCAAAAAAATAAAAGAAAAGAGGGATTGGAGTTTAAGCTAAGAGAACTATCAACCACAGGAGGACCATTAGCTCACCCCCAACCGAAGAATCTTCTACAAAACCAAAAAGTATGCTTTTGACAAGCTCAATAGTTGATGGTAAACTCTTATCTAATATACACTGAGAAAGTGGGACACTACAAAGTGTGTATAACCCTCCAGCGGTCTCCTTCTCGGTATCCTTCTTGAAGTTAGGTTATCTTGAGATGATTTCGGGGCTTTTAGTGTCCCTGCGGCCCGGTCCTCGACCAGGCCTCCACCCCCAGGAAGCAGCCCGTGACAGCTGGCTAACTCCCAGGTACCTATTTACTGCTAGGTAACAGGGGCATTCAGGGTGAAAAACTTTTCCCATTTGTTTCTGCCTCGTGCGGGAATCGAACCCGCGCCACAGAATTACGAATCATGCGCGCTATCCACCAGGCTACGAGGCCCCCTTGTGTATACACTAGGAGCCTCCGCTGCGTCACTAACATGCTAAGCATCAAGCGCCCCGCTTGCGCGCATTGTGTTTCCGAAGCGTTTGTGCACCAATTCTTTTCAGTGACATAACGTAAAACCTGCTGTACACTTTGGCAGGTCGGGACAAGAGTGGCCTCGCTTCTTACAGAACGGTTGCTCGATCTCCATGATAATTATTCACCCTGATAGTATAGTCCTTAAAGCATATCCCGCCAAACACACACCGAAACTACGCCGTTGGTACAACGTTCGAACAAGTTTTAACACCTCCTAACCAGTTATAACAACCAATATAGCCAGTTGTAACAACGTTATAATACGTCATAAACACGTTAAGCCAAGATGTAACAACTTTATTACAAGTTGTAACAAGCGGAAAATAGAGACAGTTTCGGTTTGTGTTTCCAGGGATACCTCTGTACACCATAGATGTAGGGAGGTATACGGGTTTGCACCGGTTATACGGTTTTCATGCACCGGACAACAAGTCCGGTGGTGACAAAGACCCAGATCGGTCGAGACGTTTATCTTTCTTATCTATTTCTCTGTGGATTTTCCGCATATATATATCGCCCCGCCCCGCGAGGCAACACGAGGCGAGGCGCGTCAGTCGGCAAGGCGAGGCAACGCGAGGCGAGGCAAAGGCGAGGCAAAGGCGAGGCAAAGGCGAGGCAAGGAGGAGGCAAAGGCGAGGCAAGGAGGAGGCAAAGGCGAGGCAAGGGGGAGGCATAACGAGGCGAGGCGAGGCATAACGAAGCGAGGCGAGGCATAACGAGGCGAGGCATAACGTTAGGCATAACGAGGCTATATCGTTAGCATAACGAGGCGAAGCATAACGAGGCGAGGCGAGGCATAACGAGGCGAGGCATAACGAGGCGAGGCATAACGAGGCGAGGCGAAGCATAACGAGGCGAGGCGAAGCATAACGAGGCGAAGCATAACGAGGCGAAGCATAACGAGGCGAGGCATAACGAGGCGAAGCATAACGAGGCGAGGCATAACGAGGCGAGGCGAAGCATAACGAGGCGAGGCATAACGAGGCGAAGCATAACGAGGCGAAGCATAACGAGGCGAGGCATAACGAGGCGAAGCATAACGAGGCGAAGCATAACGAGGCGAGGCATAACGAGGCGAGGCGAAGCATAACGAGGCGAGGCATAACGAGGCGAGGCATAACGAGGCGAGGCATAACGAGGCGAAGCATAACGAGGCGAAGCATAACGAGGCGAGGCGAAGCATAACGAGGCGAAGCATAACGAGGCGAAGCATAACGAGGCGAGGCATAACGAGGCGAAGCATAACGAGGCGAAGCATAACGAGGCGAAGCATAACGAGGCGAAGCATAACGAGGCGAAGCATAACGAGGCGAAGCATAACGAGGCGAGGCATAACGAGGCGAGGCATAACGAGGCGAAGCAAGGCGCGTCAGTGGGCGAGGCGAAGAGTGATAGTTTGCAAGATCAAGATGAGACGCAAGTGTGGTCGTGACGCAGGTAGGCAGCAGGGTGTAGCCTCCTGGCTTGTTCCCGGGTGTCGGGGCCCAGTCCGCCCAGGGTACCCATATTGAACCGTTACACAAGTGTAAACATTGAGCACAATGCAAGACAAACAAAACTCTTAAAAGCGAGTAGATGCAGGTAAATATCCTCTACTTTCATTTTCTTTCAAACAGTTCTCACCTGTTATGGAGAAGGTCCCCAGCAGAAGCAGTACCGGAAGTCCTCGTAGGTTCCCCATCGTGTCCCTGGAACGAGATCCTCTTCTTCTAGTCGCTAATTACTGGCGAACAATTAGCGTGTTCACACAACTCCCACAGCACGCGTGTTGAAATCCACAAGAAATTAGTGCACTTTTAATCGTACCAACAAGGACAGAGAGTACGCACAAGCGATCGCTACCAAGGACCACTTTCCACTTCGTATTATCGAGAGCACAAGTGGTATATCGACAAAAATCCGTGTTGATCCACCTCAGAGTGTGACACGATGCAGGAGTTCCTTCCCCGCCGAGAGCTCAGCCAGTACTGGGAGACTCGTAGAGCGCGAACCAAGGGTAGGCAGAGCGCAAGTCAGGCCGCCCTTGGTGGCGTTGTGAGACTTGGCTTGTTTCGAACTACCACTTGACCCAGAATAATAATTAGAACTGTAATGCAACAACTCGTCCTAATCAACAAACACCAAATGTTCGTTAATGCAGCCCTCAAACCCCTCTTGTTTATGAATGAAAACACATTACACACGACTCACAAACAACGACGTATGTAATATTCTCGAGCAGCGCTTCGTGCAGCGTCCTCTGCTCGAATCGTACCTCTCTCCTTTGCTTCATCCATGCACTGCAAATGCCAGTAATTGCCAGCGGAAACTGCCCATGTAACCTAACGTAAGTTAGGCCTAACTATTCAACACTAATATGTAAAAATATTAACGTATTTGAGAACACAGATTTTAACTACGCAGAAAGTTAAAATTGATGACAGCGTCATTGCCTAGCCTGAGGACAGCTTATTATGTTCGCATCTGTGAGAAAGATTGACTCTGTCAGGGTTTTGATGCACAAGTGAAATACTGACATTAAAATTTGTATCAATAGTTCACATACAGTGAATGTATGATTACTTAAGTGTAGTTACAGGATGAGATGTACGATCGTCGTGTCCCGTCTTCCTAATACTCTTTGTGGTATAACGAATTGAAACTCCCTGTTGTAAAAGTATTTGTGTGTACGTCTGGTAACATACTACATTTGTAAATGAAGAAATGTATATGTTTATCTCTAAGAATGTTCGGTAATATGTTTATTGCTTGTGATGTGTCTATGTATGAACACGTTGTATTGAACGGGGTGAGAATAGCTTGAGCTACCTCGTCCCTTTGTGTGTGTTTAAATAGATACAATAAACATATTTCAATTTCAATGTTGTATGTGTGTGTGTGTGTGTGTGTGTGTGTGTGTGTGTGTGTGTGTTTACTAGCTGTGTTTACTAGTTGTGTTTTGCGGGGGTTGAGCTTTGCTCTTTCGGCCCGCCTCTCAACTATCAATCAACTGTTTACTAACTAACTACTAACTTACTAACTATTTTTTTTTTTTTTTTTTTTTTTTTCCCACACCACACACACACACACATACACCCCAGGAAGCAGCCCGTGACAGCGGGCTGTGTGTGTGTGTGTGTGTGTGTGTGTGTGTGTGTGTGTGTGTGTGTGTGTGTGTGTGTGTGTGTGTGTGTGTACTCACCTACTTGTGTGCGCGCGCGCGTGCTTTTAAAGGGAGACTTATAATTATATTTTTGCGTGAGCTCATATTAACAAGCGTTCACTCGCTTTTGTATAATGAACTATAATGAGCACCTAGACAACAAGCCTACCCTATCAAAGGACAATACTCATTAGTCCGAGCAACGGTCAATATTGCATCGTTTTAATTTCTATAAAACAACGAATTTATTTTAGGCTGTGATCGATGGCGTAAAAACTGCTGAGCATTAAGTGGGAGGACAGGACGCCCAGCAGAACGTGCAAGTGTCTTAGGTCAGACATGTGATGAGTTCACATAACTCATCATGGCTCCTAATGACCTTCTCGTATGATGAGTTCTGTTTGACTTAATAAGAGATGCTAAGTAAGAGTTACAGTTGCCTCACGGACCTCATAGCAGTCATCTTGAGATCTTGAGATGATTTCGGGGCTTTAGTGTCCCCGCGGCCCGGTCTTCGACCAGAAATCCACCCCCAGGAAGCAGCCCGTGACAGCTGACTAACACCCAGGTACCTATTTTACTGCTAGGTAACAGAGGCATAGGGTGAAAGAAACTCTGCCCATTGTTTCTCGCCGGCGCCCGGGATCGACCCCAGGACCACAGGATCACAAGTCCAGCGTGCTGTCCGCTCGGCCGACCGGCTCCCTCAATTCGGTCATGTGGCCAAGCGTGAAATTCACCATCATTAACTGCTATGAATATTAGATAATGTCATGGTTGGGAGGTTAGTTTGTGTTGCTGGGCCAGGGTTGCTCTACATAATGTATGCAGAGTTGTTGCTAGTGCGTAGTGGTGGGAATGTTTTAATGAGATAAGAGGGACTCCCCGGTCAGCCTCAAGGGGCCCTTCCTTGTTAAGTTGTGTCTCAGGAAGGATTAGAGGCAGTTATCATTGGAATTGCCTCCAGCGCTTGGGCCCCCCCTCGCATAAAGTTTCTGAAATTTAGAGCAGTCTGATACAAGCGATTCACTTCTAATTTCATAATTGGTCTACCATCAGACCACCTCCTCTCACTCCTACCACACACCACCTATCTTACCCCCCCCCTCACACCCAAACAACATCCATCTTTTCCCCACACAACATCCATCTTTTCCCCACACAACATCCATCTTTTACCCCCCACAACATCCATCTTTTCCCCACACAACATCCATCTTTTCCCCACACAACATCCATCTTTTCCCCCACACAACATCCATCTTTTCCCCACACAACATCCATCTTTTCCCCACACAACATCCATCTTTTACCCTCCACAACATCCATCTTTACCCCACACAACATCCATCTTTTCCCCCACACAACATCCATCTTTTCCCCCACACAACATCCATCTTTACCCCACACAACATCCATCTTTACCCCCCACAACATCCATCTTTTCCCCACACAACATCCATCTTTTCCCCCACACAACATCCATCTTTACCCCCACAACATCCATCTTTACCCAACACAACATCCATCTTTACCCAACACAACACCCATATTTTCCCCAAACAGCACCAGTAGTTCCCCACACACTACCCAATAAACTTGCCCCTCGGGGCAAAATGAAAAAAAAATTAATCACCCACTCTTCCCCCCCCCCACACACACACCACCACCACTCCTCCCACTCACCACCATCACTCCCACTCATCACCATCACTCCCATTCATCACCATCACTCCCATTCATCATCTACGTCTCCCATCAGAATATCTTGGTTACCTGTGCCGTTTCTCAGAACCGTTATTAACCCAACATTTGTTGCTGTTTTCCGTACGAGGTTCAGCAACAGGTTGTAAAGATCTTGTGACTGCACGCGACTTTGATTAGACAATGTCACGCTCTCGTATATTTTCCTCTGTAATGTCGTTTGTGAATTGGGGGTCGTGGCATGTTTTTTAACAGTTATTCATCATGATGTTGCGAAGAAGTACACCATAGTGGTATTCATCATTGTGAAGTATACTACAATGGCATTCATCATATATCTTTGTGAAATTTACCACCGTGGTTTTCATAATTGTGAAGTATACCACTGCCATTCATCACTGTGAAGTATACCACTGCCATTCATCACTGTGAAGTATACCACAGAGCCATTCATCATTGTGAAGTATACCACAGTGGCATTCATCACTGTGAAGTATACCACAGTGGCCTTCATCACAGTGAAGTATACAACAGAGGCATTCATCACTGTGAAGTATAGCACAGTGATATTCATCACTGTGAAGTATACCACAGAGCCATTCATCACTGTGAAGTATACCACAGTGGAATTCACCACTGTGAAGTATACCACAGTGGCATTCATCATTGTGAAGTATAGCACAGTGATATTCATCACTGTGAAGTATACCACAGTGGCATTCATCACTGTGAAGTATACCACAGTGGAATTCATCACTGTGAAGTATACCACAGTGGCATTCATCACTGTGAAGTATACCACAGTGCCATATATCACTGTGAAGTATACCACAGTGCCATATATCACTGTGAATTATACCAGTGACATTCATCACTGTGATGTATACCACAGTGCCATATATCACTGTGAAGTATACCACAGTGCCATATATCACTGTGAATTATACCACAGTGACATTCATCACTGTGATGTATACCATAGTGACATTCATCACTGTGATGTATACCACAGTGACATTCATCACTGTGATGTATACCACAGTGCCATATATCACTGTGAAGTATACCACAGTGCCATATATCACTGTGAATTATACCACAGTGACATTCATCACTGTGAAGTATACCACAGTGCCATTCATTACTATGATGTATACCACAGTGGCATTTATCTTATTCATTTTAATTATACATTGGATAATTTTCTTCTCTAGATTCTGGTATACAGATTTAATCATTTTCTTCGTGAACATCATTAGTCTTACATTTAGAGTTGTAAAGGAACCCTGGATGACAAGATCAAGTCTGAACAAATGTAAATTTAGAGCCAAATTTTTCACAGTCCTTCACAAATATGCATTTACTAATAGGACTATAGAGACAACAAGTGAGAATAAACGTTGCCCAAACGCTTCTTTCCTGTCACTGGGATCGAACCCGTAATGCGCAGTGTAGTGTGTGTGGTGTGTGTGTGTTTACTAGTTGTGTTTTTACGGGGGTTGAGCTTTGCTCTTTCGGCCCGCCTCTCAACTGTCAATCAACTGTTTACTAACTACTATTTATTTTTTTTTCCACACCACACACACACACACCCCAGGAAGCAGCCCGTGACAGCTGACTAACTCCCAGGTACCTATTTACTGCAAGGTAACAGGGGCATTCAGGGTGAAAGAAACTTTGCCCATTTGTTTCTGCCTCGTGCGGGAATCGAACCCGCGCCACAGAATTACGAATCCTGCGCGCTATCCACCAGGCTACGAGGCCCCGTGTGTGTGCGCGCGCGTGTGTGTGTGTGTGTGTGTGTGTGTGTGTGTGTGTGTGTGTGTGTGTGTGTGTGTGTGTGTGTGTGTGTGTGTGCGTGCGTGTGCGTGTTTATTACCTATAATAAAGTACACATTACTAAAGCATTCTGCTAAATTCGCAGCAATAAAATTCAATAAAGATAACACATATATTGCCACATGAGGTGGCTGCATAGACCCATTACGTGCGTGTTGCGTTGAGTTACGAGTTTCATAAATAACATCCGGCTCTCACCAATATTAATACATCAATTCGAAGCTATTACATATTGATAATATTCTTACATTAATTATTAATAACAATGGCTGCAAAAT